AAGGAGCCAAATTCATGGCTCTCCTGGCCTATGAAGGCACATACCCACTAACTTAATAGATTGGTATCCCCTTATATTTCTAAGTACCATTTAAAAAAATGTAGTTCAGCATTCCACCACTGAGATACTGAAAGAGTACACAATAGCAGCTATTTTTTGTAGGATCCACAATAATTTTATTTCATCTGTTTTTCATTAAATATTAAATAAAAAGGCATCTACAGTAGATATGTGTTGGCATGCAAATATGCGTCGGCATGCCAAGACACTATCTAACACACAAATTCTGCCATCCTCTCTCACCTGGAGTTCAGTGGGACCACTCAAGGAGTAAGGTACTATTCAACATGAGCAAAGGTCTCAGAATCTGACTTTAAGTGTTTCATACGATGATCACAGATGATAATCAGCATATGGATCATCTTGTCTACCCCCTTGATAGCAAACCAAAAAACCCCCATTAAATTTGATCTCTATTCAAAATACAGGTACAGTTCAGACAATAACTGCTGAATAGAAACGTGGGGGTGGGGGAATCCATGCTTCTAATACAACAATATAAGCAATGGGATGTCCAACACAAAAATTAAACATTAGAAGAAAAATTATCTGACAGTACCTATGTCTGCAGCTATCTGCAAGTACACCTGAACTGCAACATGGACACGTAGTCCCACAGTTGGGCTGTCATATTTCCTTAATTTGGATCTAGATTGCAAACGCCAGCAGCAATGGTTCATTTTCCTTAACATCATGCTGCATTATGCATTTGCATATTTGACTTAAATGCCTGTATTAATTTCATTTTTAACCAGAGGCAATTATCAGCATAAATCCTACTATTTCAACATCACCGAATTCCCAGTGAATCTGATATCATCACTTCAGTAGGGCAGCCTAAAGTCATAAATTATAGACTACCCACATTCAAAAAATAAAGCCACCTGCTTTTCAATGGGGATTTTAATTGCGTTCATTTTACACTTTTCTCTGTGCTAAAGACAATTTGGGTCAGAGCAAGTTTAGCCAATGAGGAAAGCACTCATCTTACAAATAACATATATGGGATTGCTGTGTTATTGAAGGACATCTTCAAACACAGTGTGGCAAACAGAACACATTATTGATATATGTCATTTTGTTTCAGATGTGTATCAGTTTACAATGAGCTTCCGTAGAAGATTTCACCAGAAAGATTTAAGCTTTAATTTAAAGTAGCGTACGACCATTGTATTCTCTTTGGACAATATAGCAGTCATGGAGAGCATGATACCACATGTTAAAGTATACAGAGGTATCTATTTTTAGCATCACACGCAGCAGAAAAATACAGGCTTGTTTAGAGGAGACTCAAAAATCATGCTGTAAAAATTGTGGTGAAAGAGAAGAACTTCTCAATGAAGTAACCCCGCTCCCTTTAATTCTCCTTTTACCAAATCTGCTATTTTCTCCAAAGATCCTTAAGCAGGTGGGCACTGGAGGCCTGTTTTGTAAAAGAGTCTCAATGTAGCCTTCAATTTTGAGCTTGAAATTTTCTCAGGCACACATATTTCTGGGTGAAATTATTACTACATAATCCTGATTTTCATAGAGTCCGTTAGCGAGACATGTAAGTGACTTGATATGTGCACACATTTGTTTGTGCCTTCAATGTGGGAGGCCACATCTGAAAATCAGACATCTCTCTAGTATTAGATATATGCAATGATTTCACAGATGCATAGCTCCATTTCATTCTGCAATCAGTTTGCATACCAGATTCATAAACTTCATTCATGATTAGGTCAGCTTTGTGCAACAGATCCCAGTTCCACAGTCCAGTGGCACATCCTACATATCTCCACAACAAAGGGATCCCCTTTCATAGCTCACAGTTGTGTAGATTGTATCTGCAAAACGGTAGCCACTCTCCTGAAATATATCCCTAATTGTTCAGTAGAAGGTAATAACCATGTTTTCACTGCACAATGGGAGTATTGCCACTGTCACTCTTTCTCCACTTGGTCTCTTTACTCTTAAGGTGATAGCATATGGAATTATAGATCTGCCTCCTCCCTGTCCTGTACCTACCCGCATTTTGTTCATCCATTCATTCTCTCATCTACTTATTTTCTTTTCAAGAGATAGTTAAGACTTTTCTTATATTGTTATTTGATGCGATGGTGAAAAGTATAGGTTCCAGCAGAGCTGGATTCAGACCTCTCTAGCAGTGCTGAGAAACCCTACATTTGTAAAATCTAAGAGTTCAAGACTATAGTCCTTAATCAAAATTTTTCACTGAGGCTCCTAAAACCCCTACAGGAAGGAAACTGTAAGATTCATTGGTGAAACAAAGGGACAGAGAGGGGCATGTCTACACTATATCTGGAAGTGAGCCTTGCAGCCCAGGTCCACAGATTTGTGTTAGCAGGGCTTGTGCTAACACTCTAAAAATGGCTGTGTAGACATTGCTCTGACACTGGGGCTTGGGTTGGGATTTGGGCTCTCAAGCCCGCTCCCCCCCTCCACCCGGCTTCAAAACCTGAGCTCCAGCCCAAGTCAAACATCTACATAGTTATTTTAGTTCACTATTGCGAAGCACAAGTTTGTGGAACCTGGGCTGGGAGGTTTGCCCACAGATGCAGTGTAGACATGCCCCAAGGAGCTAACTCAGAGTAGTTGACTCCATGTGAACCTTAAGCAAGTCATCTGATCTTTTTGTATTTCCATCAACACAGGTACCAAACAAGAATGTCAACAAATGTTAACTTTATAATTGAGTCCCAAATCAATGGGAGTTTCAAATGAGTAAAGCCTGAATAATGACCACAGCCAAGAGCTGAGAGCTCATGTGCTTGAACTGATTGAGCAAGCTAGATTAAGAATTCCAAGTTACAGGAATGAGACTTCTCTGGTGGACTGTAGACACAATAGAATCAACTAAATATGAACATCTTTATGGGGATTCCTAATAGTCCACTAAAATTGGTTTTAGTATATGCATCAAAAATAAAATATATCCACTGTCAAAGCTAACTGATAAAAGATAAGCCTCATTGTCAAGAAATTATTTAAGTCATTTTGCATTATAGTAGCACGGCCAATATATTAGACAGACAATAACAATACACTAATTACTGGACAGTTTTTATACAAGAAATGGTTCCATTTGTTTGTTGTTTTTAAACCCAGCCAATTATGACCCAAAACAGCAGAATGTAGCCTGCTTCAGTATTGGCCTCACTTCAGACTGGAAGAACAAACACACAGCATTTACTACATAATGTGCTGCACTGAAGACACTGAAACACACAAAAAATAAAATCTAAAGTCTATTGTCTTGGTAGCCTGAGCAAATAGGTTTACATCTTCCTCTGGCATCCCTTTCTTCTTATTAGTAACAGGCAAAATGAACCAGGGTCTCTGCTGAATGCACAGAAAAAAGGGCCCAGGGGAGAGTGCTGTCAAGGAGCCAATAACAACTCTGGCCCAAGGTGCAGAACAGAGCAGCTGGGAATGCTCTAATATGGGCCAGCTGACAACAGCCCTCAAGAGACCATCTGCCAGCTGAGCACAGCCAACTACACCCAGGCCTTCTCCTCACACACATTTATTCCCTGAGTCATGAGCTGTGGGGAAAGTGGTGTAGGAGCATCTATGCTACCTCTGAACCCACAGGGAATTGAAGGAATCCCCAGGTTGGGGGATGACGCCAGTCTCTGCTCTCTATGTGCCATCTAAGCAGCCCAAAAAGAACAGAATGGGGCATAGAATCTGTCCCAACTGATCTCTTACACATTTTAAAGCATTTACTTAGCTAAATCAATGTACGCATCTTATCAGTCTCTGGATTATTGCTTCTTTCTACTTCTCTTTTCCCTTATAATAAACATCTATTTAGCGAGAAAGGTACATGTACTATCATCTTTATTCTGCAGATAGGTTCTTTAGTTTCCATACTAAACATTTGGGACCAGATTGTGCAAATTACACAAAACCACACTGGGAAGTGTGATGTGGAATCATACAACCCCGGCGGGTTCCGCAGGGATTTTTCCGCCAGCATGCACATTCCCTCAGCAGGGTGCAAATGTGGACAGTTCTGGCTGGCATGGCAGAAGCACTGCCATACTTTCTTTTTGCCCCTCCCTCACACTTGGCTTGGTTTGCACCCCTAAAGCCAGTAGGAGGGAACAATACCTGAAACCTCTTGAGTGCAGAGACTGCAACTGTCGGTAGCCTTTGAACGGGATGTAAAAGAAGGGGTGGAAGGCCTAGTCTGCCTTCCCTCAGCCATGGACTGGCACAAGGGCCTGGCACAATCTAGCCCTTTCTTGGCATTTGGAGTCAGTCAATATCTGCACAGACATCAGATGCGTCAGATGCTTCCAAATTGGTCTCTCCCTGAGATGGATTTTGAGAGGAATGATGATGATAGTGAAGTGCAGTAAATATTACAACGTGTAAACACCAAATAGCCTGGAAAGAAAAAGACTTGGGATGGCGCTGAAAAAAGCCTAACTGGCATCACTCAGATACATTTGTACATTTTCACTTCTGTGAGTGATGATGATCTCAGTAACTTCATGTTTAAATCAAATCCCAAGAGTGCAACAGGTTAAACTGCCAGTGGGATTATTTAATGACAATTTAAGCAAGCAAGCAAACAGTCCAAATTTAGATCTAATTTGTGCAACAGATTGAGAGAAAATCAGAAGGTCACCTTCAGATGACACCCCAGGCATGACAGGTGTGGCAATTCTGGTTCATCTTATTTTTCCAATAAGCACTAACGAAGTCCACTGTAAACAGTGGCAGGCACTGCCTTGATCTTTTAAAATTACCCGTGTTAAATGAAACAGTGTGTTCCAGGTAGGGAAAGTCAATTACCAAATAATCAAAATTTACACACTCACTGAAGAAAGAACAACATCCAGAATCTAAAACAATGGGAAGCAACAGTTGACCATTGAAAGTAATCTTTTTCTTATTACAAAAGAACAGTTTCAAGAGAGTTTTACCTTTCTCACAATGACTCCCTGTGAATCCAGAAGGGCAGGCACACTTGTTAGGGGTCACACACGTCCCACCGTATCTGCATCCCTCTTCACAGAATGCTGAAAGAGAAAAGCAGGCTACTGTACAACACAATTTCTACATTTATTATACATTTGTGAGGTGCCAAAGAAAATCTTCCTAATATTGTATAACAGAAAACAGAATTCAAAATGTTAAAATCCAACCCATCTGCAAACAAAAGAAGCAGGGAATCCAGGTAGCTGGTATGGAAGGTCACCTGACTGCCCTCATGGCAAAGCACCTTTCCAATAAAAGATTAATATCCACCTGTTGCAAATGATAGAGGAGAAAAAATAGAGTATAAAACAACATTTAATGAGCTGATCTTAGCTCAAGTGAACTCAGCAGGAGTTCTGCAATTGTGGTGCACTGATCCACACAGCACTTGGTGGTAGACAGCTGGCTGGTCACATGGTATTGGCTCCTCCTCCTTGCTTCCAGCTTATAAATTTCATTCGAAGCCTATCAAAATACAACTCTCTCCTGAACTCATTTTTCTGTTTAAGCAGTTGCCATAAAGAAGTTATGTAATCACAAAAGGGAGGCTAAGTGGGCTCCACAGTCGAAAACAGGAAGGGAGATGGATCATGAGACAACTTCTCTATGGAGATATGGTTCACACTATGAAACAGGTTGAGAACCCCTGCCCTAAACTTAACTATCCAGTAATTATGATTAAGAAAACCAATGTATCAGGCCCATTCTTATAAACAATGCTTCTGGTTCTTCTCTTACACCACTGTAAATAAGGAATAACTCCACCAACTGAATGCAGTTACACTAAAAGAGAAGAGAATCAGGCCTTCTGTTCAAAAACTATTCTTACTTTTTTCAATGAGAAGTCAAAATGAGCCTGCTTCTGCTCCCCACAGAAAGCTTTGGCAAGGACTTCATTGAGAGCAAGAATGGTCCCAGTGCGAAGCACATTCTTAAGAGCATATTTCCTGCCCCTTCCTCAACACACATTGCAGTTCTTGAGGCACTCAGTGGACTAAACCCCACTAGTGAGTGAAGCTAAATTTAATATTTAAACAGAATTCAGCATCTGTGTTAATAACAGAAGCACAAAGTGCATCTGCAAGCTAAAATCACAGATGGAGTGTTGGCAACGAGATGTTACAAACAGTATGAAAAGACTTAAAGTGTTACATAACAGATGAGGTGTTTTAGATTTTTTTTGTGTGTGCAAAGTACTAACAAGAATAACAAGGTGAATAAAATACCAAACATTAAGAAAATTTATCTTGTAATTTGTAACTGCTTGAAGGTGAGAGAAGCAAATCATATCTCCTGACTGAATTAATTGCTAAAATGATCTGTCACTCTATCACTATACCTTGTAGCACAGCATTCTGTTTTGGTGAAGATGTGTGGGAAGGGGAATCCTAAAATGATGTATAAAAATGGTAATGGAAGAACACAAGGAATTCTAGGAATGGGGGAACCACTTGCTGAATGATATCCGCTATTTCCTGCTGCACATATTCCATGTATTAGTCATTTGGAAGTTTATCTACTCTAGTTTCATCTCAGTCATGTTCTAACGCATAAGTACAGGGCAGAGAGATGTTTAAAGAGCAACATTAATTTTGATTTCTCACTGAATATTTTCCAAAATATGAACAAAAAAGAACTTTCGCACAAGACGGAAAGGAATATTAAGGCACACAGCCTTACAAAGACAGTAAATCTAGGAAAAACATGATGAGATTACAGAATTTCCTTATGCAATGTTTCCTAGAATATTGTGTTCAGTTCCAATCTTAGCATTCTCAGGGAAAATAAATTCCTTAGCACTTGACAAAGTGCAAACTAAAACATTTAATCTTTATTGCTTGAAAGTGATAGCTAAGTAGGGACCTTACGGAAGTAACATTAAAATTCTATGTGGCATGAAGATCATTAGTATTTGCAGCACAGAGGTTATAAAAAGCAAAAGTCATACAGAAAAGAAAAAAACAGGTTGTTGTTTTTCAATCAGTTTCACCATCAAAAAGTAAACAGTCTATGAACAGCATATACTGTACTATTTCATAAAAGTGACAGATCATTCAAATACATAGGAGAGACAAGAGAAGGTGGAGAGGTTTATTGCTCATAACTCATAATACACATACATAAGACTTATTAGAGCCAATGGGATATACACATATGTAGTGAAGGTAGACTACAACCTCAATTAGGAAGGATTGTCTCTTGTGTTTCCTTACTGCTATAATTGAGTCTGAATATGACATGTTTGGTGCTTAGAATGACGCTTATTTCTAGATCTGTATAGAAACTGGTTAACTTTCTTGCTATCCTTCATGCTAACCAAAGAATGCTCCTCCTCCAGGAGGAAGTGGTTTATGAACAGGGTTGCCATTTTTGAGGCTTTGGGCACTGGGACAAGACCATGCCTCACAGTACTGAGGTGCGTACAGTAAAATGTGATGACATTGCTGTGACATAGAGGCCCACTGGTACCAGCTGGCAAAGAATTCACTGTTCTGTAACTGTCCTATCAGGCCTGACAAACTCACTGCATCTAGCACACTGCTTTCATAATAGTTATCTATTAAGAATGTCATGTGAGATCTTAAATTAAAGCCAGTATCACACAGATCCTCATAATCATTGTGTGATGTCTGTATGGATGATATTGAAGACGTCGTATACATGTACTAAACATATGTTCTAATGTCTAAATCAAGGCAGGGTTGACAAACAGGTTTTGAGTCAGACAAAGGAAGTTGCTTCATTTGTCTTGCTATCAGTTATATAAATTAAAACAGCAAGCCAATACAATGTAAGCCAAATCTGCATACGGAGTAAGCAAGAGGATAGAAAAACACTGGAGACTAAACTACGGGGGGTTATCCTCTCTCTGGGAGAAAAAATGAACTTTGAGGAATATAAATAGAATGCAAGGAGACATTTTGTTATTTCAGTTACTGAAAAAATGTCTTGAAAAAGGAGGGGGCGTTCATGAATGCTTGGATCCTGATTTGAATGAAAACCTGTTAGCTCTCCAAAAGAATGAATCCTTGGGGGGAAATCTACTCTATTAAATAGGAAAGACAACCTTTGATAAGTGTAAATCCAGGTTTGTATTTTATTTTATATATAACCATTTCTATTTCCATTATTCCCTCCCTCTTAAGCTTTGCCTTTGATAATAACATTATTTTTTCAGTGCTGGTGTAGCTGCATTGACCCCAAGGAATTAGAGAGACAAGGTAGATGAGGTGATATACTTTATTGGACCAACTTCTGTTGGTGAAAGATACAAGCTTTCAAACTACACACAGCTCAAAAGTTGTTCTGAAGAAGAGCTCCATGTAGCTTGAAAGTTTGTCTTTCACCAACACAAGTTGGTCTAATAAAAGATATTACCTCATCCACTTGTCTCTATAATAAACTTATGACTGTTTTTACAATACATGTACTTCAGTGCTGGGTTGTTATATTGGAGCTGAACATCAGTTGAAACAAATAAGCTTTTGTATGCACTGTTCCTTTTGGGGACAGCTTACCTGGTAATTTCTGTGAGTGTCCAGTGGTTAAAGGCTGGACACTGCACGGAACACTCTGAGGACTTGGGGGTTGGTGTGTGCCTATTACCAGTTTGCACAAAGAGGGTTGATTCTGCAGAGACCAGAAAGGCAGTGCTTGTGTGCCCAGAGGCTGTTACTTCAGAGAGTTGGAACTACTACAGGCACAGACAAGACTGCTTCACGCTAAGAACAAGTAGTGGCTAGGTGGATACCCATGGGGAGCATCACAACTGCATCAGCATTTTGCAGTTTGTCACATCATCACAATGCCACATCACTGATGAGCTGCAACATCATCGCACAGTGATAATGTCAATATAGTGATGCTTCGAGTGGTATGCTATTGCACGATCCTGTGGTGAGGAAGAAAGGCACTCCACAAACCCCAATGCATGGACACCTGCTTGTCACATAAGTGATCGTGGGTGAGGATATTAAGGTAGAGGAAAAGAGGCTTCGGCAACAGTTACCTGTGGCAGGGCGAGTCCTTTCCCCTCCCTGCTGTCCAAAAAGATCTCTAGAAATTCAGACCCACTGTTCTGAGTAACTTGTTTTTGTTTATTATCCTTTGTTTATGACTCGGTAAAAGAACGGCCTGAGGAAAGGCACAAACTCTGCTAGTGGTAAGAGCATTAATCATCTTCCACAGCTGGTGATTCTGCCCACTGGCTACATACCCTTTAATCCTTTTAATCTGGGTTTGTAAGGAATGGAATCAGCCTGTTAACCCCCCAGAAAATAGTGGCTATGAAAGCAGAGATGTTTGTTTGAAGGTTACTTTCTCTAACTGCTGGGGAAAGAGTCTGCAGCATTATAGGTAGAGTTGGTAGCACCACCTAAAATTAAGGTAAGTCAATATTTCTCGTTATAAGACCCTGATTTCAGTTGCTTGTAACTTTGCCAAACTTTAACCATTTGGGGTGAAACAACCAATGCCAGGTCTCTGCTTAAGGCTGAATTATTCTGGAATGTTTCCGCTAACGTTGTTCAGTCCCTCCTAGAACAAGATTTGGGAAAAAATACATTGTTTCACCCTTGGTAAAAAGTCTGTACAGCTATTTCATTGAGAAGATCTAAACTCTGTGCTTTGAAGCAGGGACTTGACATTTGGCAGAAGAGTGGCCCTAATGTCAGGAATGTGAGTTTTTCTGTCCCCGTGAAAATTTGCCCAGATATGTTAAGGCCTCTGAAAAATCTCAGTTCACAGCTGCTCGTAGAGGCTTGTTAGAGAATGGCATCTAAATTCACCAAAAATCCATCTGCATTGAGCATGCTCCAGCCTGGGACCACAGGGGATGGAGCAGGACTTTGCCTGTAATTGCATTGGGCACAGGCATGGAGAGCAAGGGGACTGTCTCCTTTGTTCTTTTGATGCTCCCGCACCAAAAATCTGCAACATAGTTAGCAATCGGCTGGTGTCCCTGCTTCGGGAACTGGAGTGAGGCTTCTGACACTCATATGTTAATCATTAGAAGCAAAACAAGAGCATGTTGACCATTGTA